TAGCCACCGCCTGTTACAAAGAAGCTGCTTATGTTTATATGAGGGACAAATGTTTTCATTTTTTATTAATATTGTATTTAGTATCTTTTGTAAACATAAATTATTAGTAGTAAAATTGAACTTTCACAAACTACAGAACTGCCGTACTGGTACTCGTACTCGTAATTTTTGAGTACCCGTACTGGTACGCGTAGTACTAGTACGAACCATGCTTGTTCCCGAAACCAGTACTTGTATCGTACCGTACGGTACGGTACTCAACGTGATGTACGGTTCTCGTACTATTTGTATCGTACGACTTCGTTGTGAACGATTCTTGATTCTTCCTCGATTCGTTCATCAATACTAAAACGTACTTACGGCTCTACAGTACTAATATTTATGGTTACAGTTGTTGGCTCGTGCCTTGAGTGGAAAGAAGAAGAACCCGATGCAACGCGACTAAGCTGAAGCCAATTGAAAACTCCAGTGATTATTCGGAAGGAATAATGAAAACCCGTGCGCTGTCACTGTACGGAGGGAGTGTGTTAAAGAAAACTTCTTCCTAGATGTAACTGGGTACAGTAAGTAACAATACTAAAAAACAAAAATATCACACCATGGCGTGGTATGGTTGTGAGACCTCGATGCTCACGTACTAATGTATTATTTCGCCGTAACCGTTGGAATTCTAAAGATAGGACAGCAGAAAAGACTCAACATTTCTCGGACACTGTAATTAGTCGGAAGTTTACCCGTACGATTCCTCTCGACCAAACAAACCATACTACGGTACGGTAATCTACCGTAGCACGAGTTCGAACTCGTCCGTCCATTGCATTGCATGTAAATACGAGTACGAGTAGTACGAGTACAGCACGCCAACCACCATACAAGATGCGCAATTTCATGCAATGCCGTATGTGGAATTTGTGTTGACGTAAACCCTAAAAATCAAGCCTAATTGAAGGAAACAAAGAGAAAAAAAACATTTCAGGTATTTTGAACTTCGTTTGYGATGGAACGGAAAACGCCAKACTCGTACAGAAAATAACGTACACCGATCGATCTACACAAACATAGTAGAGAAAGAATACGTAAGGTTCAACAAGTCACACAATCAATAGTCAATACACAACGCATTCCCCTTACCATACTCAGGACGAACAGCCTCTACAATTTGTGTACGCTAATACCATATTCTACCTCTCTCGTATTCGGAACTATCCAACAAAGACACAACAATTTATATCATCTCCATTATCGGTTCGGTTCCGCCTTTGCCTTACATGATCAGACCAGTTTCCGGCTACTACAGCAGCAACACTCGTCGTACACCAACGACCACGCAACACCGCAGATATACATTTATAATACGTGATAATAAACAMTAAAAGCAATCGCTATGGGTTGTAGTCAAAGCAGCGATGGGGCGGCCAATTTGTCGCCTTCGTTTTCTATGCCCGTGCCCGAACAAAGTGAGCACTCAACGGCAAACGGCAGCCATCACAACAGCAAGGCGAATGGCACACAATCGGTGTCATTAGGTACGTTCCAACAAAGATAGTCAGTGGRAGTCATCAGCTTWTTCATTCTTTTGGACACAAGACAGAACTAACACGCTTCGCTTTTGGTGGCTCAGGAKCGGCAATCGAACAAACCAAGCAGCCAGAAAAAGCCGTCGTTTCAAAWTCCAACGAAGCGTCGGTGAACCTTGCCCACGGGGGAGCGGGAAAKYCCCAAGTTGTCAGAAACGGGCAGAACGGCAACAGCAGTATCCGAGTTGGGGCTGCACCGATTCCGGCAATGACCATCAGCAACGGTGGACTCGTGGGGGGGGCMACCGCGGCACTGGCGTCCGTCACGGCTTCCTCCGCGTCGGCAAGTTCTGGGACTTCCGGTTCCTTCGCCGTGCCAACTGCGGAAGGGGCCACCGCGGCTCTTGCAGCAGCATCCGCGGGCACGGATGACATTTCGTCCATCGGATCCATGACGGCGGGTTCGCTGGGGGAAAACAAATCGAACGACGGAGTCAACGGCAACGCCAACAACAACGGAGCGCTCGATCGCAGCCACCGCAGCAGCAGTGGGTTGCACCGWAGCCGCATCTCCCTTGGAAACTCCTCTAGTGTAATTGGATTGGATTCTATGATCGAGAGCCGGCGAGAGGAGGGCGGTTTGACGGCWAACGTGGTGCATATGGAGGTTCCCTTTGGAAAGCCCATCGAGGAGGTCTACGATGGGGTTCAGACTGGTCCTGTCCTTGGRTCAGGAATTTCGGGTGTCGTCCGCTTGGTCACACACAAGGCCACCGGGGTCAAGTACGCTGTGAAATGCCTAGATCTGGGGCTGGTCGACACAGAAGAAGGACTCATGCAGCTCCGGGAAGAGATCTATATCATGTGCCAGCTGGACCACCCTAACATTGTGCGCTTGGAAGAAGTGTACGAGAGCCACTCTGAGATTTACCTAGTGCAAGAATTGTGTTTGGGTGGCGAGTTGTTTGATCGTTTGGACGAGCAACCGGACTATCACTACACCGAGGCCGAGTGTGCCAAGTTGATCAAGCAAATGCTTTGTGCCGTTCGATACCTTCACAGCAAGGGAATCATTCATCGCGATTTGAAGTTAGAAAACTTTTTGTTTTCCAGCAGCGCACCAGACTCCGAGCTCAAAATGATTGATTTTGGACTGAGCAAACATTTTCAATATGGGGAAATCCAGCAACAGGCGGTCGGAACGCCCTACACTGTCGCTCCAGAGGTGATTCGGGGCCGGTACGACGAACGATGCGACATTTGGGCCATTGGGGTCATCGCCTTTCTTTTGCTAAGCGGAGAACCACCGTTTGGTGGATGTGGGGGACCCGAGCCTCTCATGACAGTCCGCGCCAACATTCTTAATGGAGCCTACGAGTTTGAACCCTTCGAGATCTGGGATCTGGTCAGCGATAGTGCAAAGGATTTCATCAAGGCCCTTTTGGTTACCGATCCAAAATTTCGACCAACGGCTAGCAATGCACAAAAGCAACCATGGCTGACAGAATGGGCCCACAAGACCAAGACCGACAACGATCACATTTTGAACCCRAACGTTGTTCGGGCCCTGGTTAACTTCAAGGAATTTTCGGACATGAGAAAGCTTTTATGCGAGGTCCTTAGTTTTACGCTCTTACCTGAACAGATCAAGGACCTGCGCAAGGAATTTGAAACCCTGGACACGGAAGGATCCGGGGAGATTTCGTTGTTGTCGCTCAAGCAGGTGCTCGTCACGAACGCCGGGGCTGGTTCCCTCGGTGCGCTGACGGAAGAGGAAGTGGAGGACATTTTCAACGCAATGCGGGTCAAAAAGACTGAGACGACTATTCGGTGGCACGAATTCATTGCCGCGGGTTTGTCGCAATGCGAGGTAGACGATCGAAACCTTCGTCTTGCATTCGATCGTTTGGACAATGACCACAAGGGTGTAAGTGTATGGGAAAACCGCTACGACATAGCACGGGTTCTCCCAAACTCGTACGTTTTACACTCGATGATGCGTCCTCGTATAACCAAACCTCTGACCGAGATTTTGTTTGTCCTTCTTTTTTAGTATGTAACACTCGATGATATCATGGATCTCATGGGGAGCGATGCCGTCCAAGGAGAAGAAGCTYTGAGAAAAATGTGGGGAGATAGCATGAAAGATTGTAACTGCAGTCTTGCTAGAATCACCTACGAAGACTTTGTTCTGATTATGAAGGGTCAGACACGAGAGTTTGAAGATGGCGAAGGGGTTGCTCGCAGTGATTCTGGGCAACGGTTGAAYGGTGCACTCATGCATGCTGTCAATGAAGTAGATGAGGCGGAAACTACTTTGAGATCTTCGCTTTCCAAATCAAACTCCAACAGAAAATCCCTTAGTATGGAAGAAAATGAAACTGATCAAGCAGGAGAAACCGTAATGGCGTCAACGCCTCAGCTGATGAAAYCCTTGACCGGATTCCTGAACCCTAGTGCGCCTGATGGTGAATACCAAGAGTCCCCTTTCTCTATGGACGATGATGACGACGTTGCGATGCCGGCGGCGTTTCCAGTTATCCCGACTTTCTCTCCTCCGTCTACKCCGAAAAGGGGGCCGTCTTCTCCTCGTACTGAACCAAAGATAAGGCCGTTATCTGTTATGGATGAAGTAATGGCGCAGACGATAAACAGCGATCCGGAAACAAACATCCACCCGCTTATTCCGAATCCTAAGCCCAACATCATCCATGTGAGGGTAAAATCGCGATCCTTTGACGAACGAGAAATGAAGAAGTCATTTTGCGATGTAGATTCTCGCCGTGCTGTGGCTCTACCTGAACACGATCCAGATATGAGAAAGTCGCTGATTATGAATGACAAACAAATGAGTGCTCTTCAGGTGAACCGCCAGTTGTATCGATCGCACCGCCAAATGCGCTTGTCGGTCATTGATGCGTGTAAGCGATTCGAAGATCACCAAGCGAGGCATGCCCATGGTGTTCTTCTAGCGGAAAAGAACATGGCAAGCATGGGAGCTACTGCCGGTTTGGTAATGCGCCGAGTGGACAACAAGACCGTTTCTTCCGAAGAGATCAAACAACGTTTGGAGCAGAACCGAAGACAACAACAGAAACTGATGGACAAAGCCAACCGTAGGAGTGGCGGAAGGCGTTCTTCGCGCAGGAAAAAGACGGTTTCCGATCTGAGCACTATGATGGGTTCCCTGTCCTCCGAGGAAATGACCAAAATAAGCATACAGGCACATGATACACCAAGGACGCCTCTGACTGCCAATGCACCGAACCGTGTCGAAAATACGACGAWGTACAATTCGACGATAATCCCYACGGTCATTGAAACCAAGCCACTGGAAAACACAAGTGATGATACTAATTTTAGACCTGCTACTGTTCCTGGTGAATTCCGACGGGTGAATGATCCGTTTGGGTCACATGGCAAATATGCGTCAATGATGACATCAAAATGAATCGAATCGTTACCGACCATAACATAAGAATCTGGACGGAACAGGAAACGAAAACATAAAACTGCTTGTTGCAAACATCAGCATGTCAATTGAGAAATAACAACCGCTTAATGCTACTGTTTATCAATTTTTAGAGCTAAGATCCCTCCTTGTGTATCTTACCTGTAGGTCATCATTCACAAAACTCTACATGTGTTTTCCTCGGGAATCTCTGGTTTTCTCGTGATTTCTCGCAATCTTGAGGAATCCTTTGTGTAAATCCAAGTTCCCGGACATTGATATCAAGTCGAGTAATCAGCGTACACTTGAAAGAGAGATAATGTAACATAGATTTTATTTTCAAATACATGAATTTTTTTCTTTCCTAGAAGGTGGCTAAACATCTTGCAAGAAAATGTTGAAAAACAATCGTGTAGATTCCGACAATAAGCTCAGATTTTCGAGCTTGGAGGGTAAAGATCGGCCAAACAGAGAGCATAATTCATGGTAAAACCTACAATGTGCACTTTTGCTTGATTTGGGTGTAGAGATTCATCATACAATTCAATCACGTGAAACTTTCATCGAAGATCCCTTCTCAAATACAGAAAATTTTAGGCAGTTCTGCGAGTACCGTGCATTGATGGGTCTAACTTGGGAAGCGATTTTTGAAGCCCGAGTTCATGGCGCTGAAAATACTAACCCAAACATTTTGTGATCACGACGAAGCTCGGACTCTGTTGTCCGCTACCTCAATGATCTTATCCAATTCACTTCGAAGGCGTCGTAAATTACAGGCATGATTGTTTCGTACCTCACCATAAACTGATAGCTGCTCCTCGCTGGACCTTTGGAGATCCTCCAAAAGATCAACGTATGCTGTGAATGCATTGTTTACTGCTCCCTCCGCGCATTTTGTTTCTTCTCTGTATTGTTTGTCGTCYGCCTCAAAGAGAGTTTCTCGAAGGTCGCTCAAACAGAGCTCGGCTTCATGAAATACTSTCTGTTATTCACCCAGATTGAAAGTGGTTGAAAAAATTTAGATTACGGGGTGAGAACAAATGTTTGTGGGTGGAAAAATTATCACTTGTCCTGTTCTGTATTTTATACAACAATCGTACCTTATAGTGTTCGAGCCGAATTTCCAAATCTTCGTTTGAAATCGGTTTCACTTCTTCTTGACTATCATCTGATAACAATTTTTTGATGTTTGCTTCGACGAGTTTCTCGTAGTTGTCACTATCAGTGACTACAGCTGCGGTAGTGGAGGARCTTTCTGCTACTTTCTYGGCGGGCGTTCCGAAGAACCGTATTATTGTTGCCGCCGAAGAAGGATGTGCCGATTTTGTGATCTTTGACGCAGCCATTCTCGTCGCTCTTTCGATAGCCGCTCCATGTCGAAGAGACTGCTGTGCTACAATAACTCGCCGCAATAGACACGCTGCTGTTGCTGAATTCATTTTTTCTCAATCGAATTATGATGAGATAAGATTAAAAAATCGATGATTCTAATCGTGTGAACAAGAGAAATGGCTCTGAACTCGAAAGGCCGTTAAAGTAAATTGTTGTGATCGCGTTGCTATCTTGGTTTGGATTGATGGAATAGCGATTCCCTATTGAATTTGAGATTCGACGCAAGTGGTGGTTGTGGGTTGAGAGGTCTTCCCGCCTGGGAGATGTCGTCAAAATGGACAGACAGAGATGATGTCACGTCAAAATAATTATTGGTAATAAACAATCGTCAAAAACATGCCGAACAACGACATTCGTCAAAAACATGCGGAACAACGACATTCGTCAAAAACATGCCATACAACGACAAGCCATAAGCAACTCAACGAACGCTTTTTCTGGTCCCCCCGGCTTTTGGCGAAGCAAAAAAATGACTGGAGTAACTTCACAGCAGCCCCATCATTTTTCTAGTAACCGACCTGTTGCAATGATTGCGTTGAGTAACCGCGCCCTTACTAGTTACCACGTGGTTACCAATCAAAATTGAGTAGTAACTACTAGTAGTCAGTCTTGTTTTTTGCTTGGTAACCAGTTCAAATTAGTACTTAAATTGTAAACAAAAAGTGCGATAATGAAAGTCAGCATCACATGGTAACCTTTAATTAGTTACGAAGTAGTTACTGGGCTCTGTGAGGAGCAGTAACTAGTAAGCTTGACATTGATATATTGGACAGTCAGRTTTGGTGATAAATCCACTGMGAAGTGAAGTTTAGCACTTAAACTTTGTACAAGAAAAAGTGAAGTAAAAGAGGTCACCAATATGTGGTTACCAATTTTTAGGTACTGTGTGGTGCTATAAGGCACTACTATAATAGAGATTGACACTGATATTTTGGACTGTCCATATTGATATTTTTAGTAGTAGTATCACTCACAAAATAAACAATAGGGCCAAGCAAGTGTCATAACAAGAAGCAGACTTACAAGCAAAAGCAACTAGCCAGCATCATGACACACCAAGACCAAGACCAAGACCAAGACCAACAAGACCAACAACAACAACAAGACCAACAAGACCAACAACAACAACAAATACTCTTTGCACCAGATGAAAATGGAAACAACACTGCACAACAAGCACAACCACTGAGATTATCATTACAACCAGGCAATATCGCTGGAGAAAACCCTCCTCCTGGTCCTTCTCCTCCCCAAGCAATATTCAATCCGTATCAACAAARACGAAACACAACAAACAACAAGAATCCCCCTCAACCAACTGCTATTGAAGGGGTCAATAGTAATTGTCAAACTCCTGCTCATCCTCCTCTTGAAGAGCATCAGGAAGTGGGCTACTCTGGCTTGACAACAAGAGCAAGAGCCAAGAAGCAGACTGCTGTTGAATATGCGAAGAAACTCTACAACAACCCAAATCATGCCAACACATTTGGMAAGTAAAAGAAGCAACGTCCACTACAGATCAATATTCAAAGAAGRTAATAAATGTCCACAGATGCTTTGAAGAAATTGTCCATGACGCTGCTGCTCCTAAAGGCAACGACAATCCAGGGGATCTGCAGCTGTACAAGTTCTTCACCAACAACAAGGTTGATCTACCAGRTGGTTTGYCCCATGATTATGAGTTCTAGTATGCTGTAATAGGAGGAGAGCCTGAAGAAGCCTACAAAAAGCAGATTGCAAATCAAGCTGTGTATCTGGATGCTTAACATCAAGAACATGAGATGGTGTGGATAACAAGACAAGCCCCTGGACACAACAACCCATGCTACCTCCTATATCAAGTACTATGTTTTCCCTGCACTTAGTTCAAGAGGTGTGAAATATAAAAGCAGTGACTTCAACAGAAAGGGGGAGTTCATGGTGGGAGTAGTGAAAAAAGATTGGAATCGTAAAAGACAGCAAGACCCAACGATTYGAACCAAAAGGAATAAAGCCAAGTTTGATGAGCACAGGCATGCCAATTATCTTGCCAAGCTTACAGATCGGACCTACARGCCTTAGGAAGACTATAATGACTTGCAATAGATTATTGCAATGGAACTCAAAGACACTTTKGTCTAAGAGGGAAGAATGAACTCGTGAAGCTCCTGTGGAAGGGTGTAGAGCTTGGTAAGTATGATGACTACGGTGCTATGAATGGTCTGCAACATGTAACTATTGTTCCTTRCGGAGGGGATGACAAGTCAACCATCCAACAGTAAAGAACAAAAAGAAGCAGCTCCAGGCTAACAGAGATGCTGTTTGTGAAAGCGATAGGATTATTCAGAGCCTCACAAGGCAAATCAAATCTTTGAAGGCGACACTTCATAAGCATGACCAGTTCTTCAAAGAAGCTGTTGAAAAGACCACAACTCAGACAACCGGCATCGTACTAGTTGCAGACACTATCCAACAGAGTTTTGAATCAATCAACCAATTGGTTTGGAGGGAAAGAAAAGTAAGGAGGAAGATTACCACTAGTGGAGCACAATGAAATGGACTCAAGATAGGAAAATACAATACAGCATCACCGGTGGCACTTCCTCCAACAGAGGGAATTAGCACAATTGTGGATACAACAATCCGACGATTTATTTATTATTCTGAAATTATAAATAATCAAGATTTCAGTCGGTCTTTGGCCAGTACACAAATATCAACGCTTTACTATAAGTTTATTCCTGAGATGCCCCTATTATCTTCCTTTAAACTTCGACTTGTTGTGCAGCGGTTTGCTCCACCGCTGGYGGATTCTCTGCAGCTGCCTCCATTGGTTCTGCTGATTCGTGGTCCAGCTTCATCTTTTTCTTCGRTGGTTCAAACTCAACGGTCTCTTCTACYGGAGTTTCCACTTCTGGTACAGCAGGCTCCTCGGAGTCKATAGCCTTCAACTCTTCGTTGTGAGTATCGATTTGTCCCCGGACTTCGGCGATCTTCTCTTCGAGTTGCTTGATCTGTGATTCGACTTCGGTCTTATTTTCTTCGTGCGTAGACATGATCTTTTTCAGCGCCTCCTCAGCTGAGGGATTTTCGGCAATCTTCATCTGGACAGTGAGGATGCGGTTTTGGATTTCGCTGTGGGTACTTTGCTTGATCGAAATCTCTTGGTTATATCCCATGATGCTTTGTGTCAGAACAGTGATCTTGTTCAAAATACTTTGCTGTTGGTTTTGCTTCTTTACGGCCCCGAGAATAGCGTCTTGTTTGGCGAGTACCTGCATCAGAGGACCACCCGTTAAACCTCCTTCGAGTGCCGAGGACAGATCGGTGGACAGCATCATGCTCGCACTGCGTTTCACACYGTGCTGCGTCAATGTGGGRTCCTTCATGACGGCTTCGGTCAGAGCCTTCGTGCATTGCTTGATAGAAGTATTGAGAAATTTCATGTCGCGTTCATCTGGCTTAAGCGGACGTTCGGCAAGCCATTGCTTGAGTGCGTGGACCTTCCACTGCGCAGGTTGGGGCAGAGTGACGATGCCCCTCATGTTTTCAAGTGGATTCTTCAACTCCAGGTCTTGAAGGTAGTAATTCTTCTGTTCTTCCATGTTCATGAAGTAGTTGGCTCTGCGCTTGATTTCGTAACGAAAGTCTTCTGCACGGGGCATGAACTCTTCCGTGACCTCCTTTCGCTTCACGAGATTCTGAGTCACCTTTTCGATCATCGACTGGAGTTCTGGGATTCCGTGTGCCATTGCGAACAGAATGCGCGGCTGCTTGCCCTTGAGTAAGAAGGTATCTGCCGCAGAAAGCTTGTAATCGGCCGAATCGTGCTCCGTTGMGTAGATAAATCCTTCGGTTTGGATTTCACCGAGGCTGAGCGAGACGTTGGAGGACGAGTGCGGGTTGCTCGCCATGATTGTCTGGGTAATAGGAATAGATACCTTGGCTTCTCCATCCCCAATTCCTCCGGTGATGGCGGGACCGTCGAGCGGTGCATCTGCGGGCGTCGGAAGGACGGGAAACTCCTGGAGAACATCTTGGCCGTTGACGGTGTTCGTGACATCCGATGTGAGGAAGTCCAGGGCTCGCTTAATCTGATAGCGAAGGAATTTGACATCGTTATCGTTCGGGTTCAGAGGGCGCTCTGTCAACCATTTCTTGAGCTGCGTGTTCAACCACTGGTTTGGCTGGGGCAACACAATACTGCTGCGTTTGGTCTTGAGAGGATGGGGTCTCTTGAGCTGATCSGTGTAGTAGTTGGATTCCTCGACATCGTTCATGAAGTAGTGTGCTCTTCTCTTGATTTCGTTCTTGTAGTCTTCGGCCTTGGGGATGTACTGGTCGTTCAGCTCCTTTCTCTTGATGGTCGAAATAGGAGGGCGATCAAGTATGCCGTCAAACTCGGGGAATCCAAGGGCCATGGCAAAGAGAACCTTRGGCTTCTTTTTCAAYTCGTAGTTCGATGCGAAAGATCGTTTAAACTCCTCWGAGTCATATGAACTCGCATAGGCCATGGGATCACCRGTGSCTTCATTGGCCTTCACTGGTACTTCAATCTTTTCTCCCTCTGTTGTCATTTTTTCAACTGATGGTAATGTTGATGGGCTGTTTAGAGTGTCTTAAGAGTTTCCTGGTTTCCTGTGCCAATTAGAGTAGTTCKGTGGTTCGCGAAATAGCATMTATTTGGTGTAAGACCACAACTTGRCTGACTTCGTGGATAGGTCTGATATCTCAGGTTTAWTTCGTCCGAAGATATTCATACCATGGTAAAATTCACATCGGATACAACGGTGCACCCGTATGATCATCAACAATGCTTCGTACTTACCTCCAATATGCGATATTATGATATGAAATAGTGGTGGGATGTGTACGAAGAGATGCGAAGTTTTCGGTCAGTTTTGTTGTTTGCTGGAGRCAAGCTGTAAATACTGTGATGTGGTATGACGGTAYGAGTATGTTGTACGCTATATCATCGTGATGAATGAAATGTATGGTGCAAACTGGTGCAAATGAACAATATCAATTTTCTGATGCCATAGTACGTACGAGATACTACGTACGTCTAGTACGTAGTCATGACGCAGATATTATTACTGTATTAGTAATTAGTACTGTACTGTACTGTACTGTACTTTTCTTTCTACCGTACTTACGTACCGTACAGTAGAAGCATCATACTTACTAGAGCAACGCATTTCTGCAACGACTTCAAAATGCTTTTTTCTACAAAGGCAACGCATTTCTACGATGACTTAAATGCATCTTCGTACTAAATCCAGGTACTCCCACGATTACTTCAACGCGCGAGATTCGCTCAAGATGTGATCGTCGCGCGCCAGCCGCATCAATCAAAAAATATATTGGTCATGAATAAATATATATGGAGGCCGTTATCTCACTCGGTTTGAATTGTTCGAGARTGAACAAACGAAGAACTCGAAMCAGTCCTTTTCGTCTATCAATCATGGCTTTAGCCTACTTCAGAATATGGATTCTATTGCAACCCTCTTAGTGTTTCTAATCCTTCCTGAACTCCGTCGATTCGAAAATCTGTGTTAAAAGGGAGTTGACGTCGGAAATAACAGTTAAACGATGTCATCTCGCCGAAGTCGAATGTCCCTGGGAGGCGGTGCTCTGCGCCGAGCTGGAAGCCCCCTTACCGATAGTTCATCGCGGTTCAATTCACGGCCCACCAATACAAGCGACGACGAGTATGGTGCCACTCCACGCAAATCCCCGGTTTCGTCCTACACCTCAACGCGGCAGCGCTCGTCTTCGGTGCCTCGAAGACAATCGTTTGGAGGAGATGGCCTGTTATCTCGAAACAAATATGTAACCAGTAGTAGCGCTGCCAGCGGAACACCAATCCGGGATCGGAGAGCGATGCTGGAGCAATGGAGACAATCGCGTGCTGCTGAGGCCAGTAATGGAGGAGYCCGTACTCACACCGACGATGGCTCTTCAGTGGATACCCGAAAACGTTACAGGGGTGACCCCCCATTGCCTCCTTCATCGAAGCAACACAGATCAATGGCGTCGACAACTCACAGTCACTATGGCTATTCACAAGAAACCAACTATTATTCGAATGGGGGTACTATTGAGTGCTATGATGATATGGATAACAGAACAACCGGATATGGAGCCACTACAAGTGTTTTGTCTGGTCGAACACCATCATCCAGTCGACGCACCACTATGGGTTCTGCTCTTCGAAAGACTCCATTACTAGGCAGGAGTGTAGTTCAAAGCAACCGCGAAGGTAAGAAATGRATRGATTTCATTTCTCWTTACCGTTTTCGATTTGTTTCATTAGTARYCGTCTCGTGCTCACACGTTGTTCATTGAATATTACGATTGTTTAGAGATGAGTCAACCTGAGCCATTGAGCCAGTTGACTCAAGATTATGAACCAGACCAGTCTTCGATGAAGTATGATACTATAGACTCTGTTGAGGGGGCAGGTATAGCATCCCAGATGGAAAGGATGAAGCAACGCGTAGAACAATTGGAGAAAGAAAAGATGGAGCTATCTATGTCAAAGGCACCTCTCGAGGCAAGGTTTCGTCAAAAAGAAGATCTGTGGCAAAAAGATAGGACAAGYTTGATGGATCAGATCGAAGCGGCCAAGAGTTCTCTTCGGGAAGCAGATGAAAAATATTGCGATCTYAARGCACAATATGAGACAGCGACCGAAGAAGTTATTCATTTGCGTCACGAGGTTCGAAAGGCCTCGAGTTCGACACGGTTTGGTACCGGAGTGCCGGGGTCATCTGCAGCTGCATCAAACAACAAWAGTCTATGGGGGAGACAATTACAAAACGACCGCGATCTCGCAGAGATGAAAGAAAAGCTTAGAACTGCAGAAGAAGAAATTGGTGGAATAAGGCTTGCAAAAGTCTCACTCGAAAAGGAATTGCATGCCACTCGAATCGAGTTAAGGTGTTTGGAACGAAACTACGACGAGCTTAAGGTCGAATATGACGATATAGCCGCACAAACATCTCAAAATAATGAAGCTGAAATYAAACTCGAAGTTCTGACGGAAGAACACATTGCTACGACGGCAGCACTAAATGCTGTTTATGCGGATCTAGATGCAACAAAGGCAAGGGCTGACGCRGCCATGAAAGAGAAAGYKGATTCCCACAAGAAAGAAATTGAGCAACTGCAATTTGATTTAAGTGTCATCAAGACGCGGGCCAGCAAAGTTCAAATTGATGTCAATGCAGCGAATCTATCAATTGAAGSGGAAGACGACGCTGTGCTCCGAGCTCGTATAGAAGAACGCGACAGGCGTATCGCAGAGCTAGAAAATGAGCTCCTGAAGGGTGAACAGCAACGTCGAGAAATGCACAACGCAATTCAAGAGCTCAGAGGAAACATTCGAGTATATGTTCGCACTCGGCCGTTTCTTCCAGGTGACAAGCAGACCGATGATTCGCCAATCGATGTCACTCCTGACGGAGAGTCTCTCACCATTCTTGATCGGCGCAGCGGAAATCCAGTGGGTTTTAAATTCGACAAAGTGTTCCCTCCYTCGGCCGGACAGGAATTTGTCTTCGATGAAGTTTCGGATTTTGTGCAAAGTGCTCTAGATGGATATCATGTTTGTCTATTTTCGTACGGCCAGACTGGATCTGGGAAAACCCATACTATGCAAGGGTGTGGAAACGGACCGATGAGAGGAATCATCCCTCGGTCCGTTTCGAAAATCCTTGATCAAGCCAGAGTCATGAACAAACAGAAATGGAACTTTAATCTTTCCGCTTCCTTCCTTGAGATTTATAACGAAAACCTCAACGATTTGTTGACGTCCATGCGGCCATCAGGAGAAAATTCGAACAAGAAGCTATCAATCAAACGGGATCGCGAAGGRAAAAGTTTTGTAGATGGATTGAYAAAAATTCCTATCGATGTCCAAGACTCACAATCAGGAATGGAGCAATTAGAAGCGTTGATGGGTGTCGCAGCTCGGTCGCGGTCGGTTGCTAGCACGAAAATGAATTCTCAAAGTTCAAGAAGTCACTCAGTTTTTATGCTTCATCTTAAYGGTTACAATGATGACAGTGGTGCTATTGTAAGCGGAGCCCTAAACTTATGTGATCTTGCAGGAAGTGAGAGGTTGGATCGTAGTGGCGCTGRTGCCGATGCTAAACGCTTGAAGGAAACGCAATCCATCAACAAGAGTTTGAGTTGCCTCGGTGATGTTTTCAACGCTCTCGCAACCGGTGCATCGCACGTCCCCTACAGAAACTCAAAACTGACATACTTACTCCAGGACTGTTTAAGTGGTGATGGGAAAGCGTTGATGTTCGTCAATCTTAGCCCAACGACAGCAAGTTGTGGAGAGAGCGTGTGTTCGCTACGCTTTGCTCARCGTGTCAACCAAGTGGAACTTGGAAAAGCAACAAAGCATGTCCAATACAATAAACACTGAAAAGTGGARGCACTGGTATACTTTCGATGCTATAATTTAGGAAGAAAACACTTCAAGTTTAAWAAGTATTCTAAATTTTGAAGCTCGTTAGTCTATGTCAATATCTACGATGTACAGCCGCCCCAGTTTACAGCATCACACAGAAAAATCACATTGAGGCCAATCATTTCAATTGCACCCTCCGACTTCTTCCGTTTATGTTCCTTTGCAGCAGCAATTYTCCTATTTCTTTCTTCKATGTCGCAGTAATCTGTGTYGCGGCAATCATATTGATTTTTCATTTTCGTTTGGTCTTCCACCCCAGGAAGTGACCAATCGATCGACACAATCGAAGAGTCCTCGTCGTAATTTGTGAATTCTGATATCGATCCCGTGGTTTCAGAGGCTTCTTCTGGAATTGCGCAGTCCATCAGCGAGGGTATTGTTTCCCCGTCGCGGTCTTGTTTGCGYATGGTCATCATTGATTGCCTTTCGATCCTGACCTTCGTTTCCTTTGCAAACTGAGGGCTGAAGACCGCGCCAGAGGATTTTTTATTTTTCTCCATGATCCGTTCGACGCCTCTCTTCTTGAAATATATTGCCTGGAGAGGGTTCCATGAGCTGAACGACGGCATGGTTTTAGGGAAGGCAACCTTCCCCGAAAAAGAACTCCTTTCTTTCATGGCAGACTTGTAMCGTATTGTTGTTCTATCGATACTAAAATAATGAAGTAACCGTTGTCGTGCCTTCTTGCATGTGTGTTACRATAMTCTGACTGTGGAGAGCAGTGTGCTGTCCCTTGTCGTCCGTCTCGTTCCATCGGGATGTTTCAAGGACCAAAAAGGACGTTTCACTGTTTTCTGCGGAACGAGAAAATAGTGAGARACGTGATTTTGTGATAGGTGCGCGGTGAAACACGTTCCGGATGGCACGACTCAAAACCAGGATTAAGTATCTCATCGCCATAACTTCGCCGTAACTGTAGTTTCCGTTGACTTTAAATGAGAATTCAAAAAGTCCACGGGTACGAAGTAATTGAAGTACGTGAGATAAAGGAAATAAGTCAATAATCATGCACGCACAGTGGAGACASGCGCTCGTGTCGCCATAGTTTTTTGATCTTTTGACACTAGAATCAGCGGTCATAATTTAGAGAGGTGCGCGCACCTAAACTAATATTCCATCAATTCAGGGCCCTCCGCTCCGGAACCCACGKTCGAAATCCGAATTCCTCCCCTAGAAAAACGTGGCTTATTTTTGTTGAAAAGTAACCCAAGTTTCGTGGGTTTATACGTGAAAAATAACTCATGTTTTCAAAATGTTTTTTCAGGTGAAAATTAAACTACTTYCTCCGGTCCACTATATGTGTCATTTTATAACCTTTACTACTGAAATAAGGTCAATACTTGGGCGATTGGAATGGTTCTTTTTTTGCTTAACAGATCTATTGTAGTGGTATACACTTGTGTTAAGTGTGTTAAGTTAACGTCATTGGTGAACTCTTTATAGCTGTTCAAACAGAGCCATTTTTGGCACATGAATGTGATTTTACTGTCAGCAGTTAGGCTCTACCGGTCATTAAAAGGCACAAAATACAGCTCTACAAAGCTAAGACTGAGAGCTTTATCATGATATTCTTATCATAATTATTGTGAATGTTCTTATGCAGTCATAGTGGGTCACTAGAGAACCCAAATATTGCTCGGGCATTTATTCGGGCGCATGCAGTTTTCATGTGTTTTTTTTAATTTTGAGCTGGAGAGAGGAATCGAAGAGAAAAAAAATGCTGTGCACATGGTCCAAAAATGCTGCCCGTGTTATTTTCATGTGATAAATTTCACTCTTGATTTCACTACACCTCCCAATTTCCTCTTTTCGACTCCTTTCCGTCACTTCGCTCTTCCCATTCAACTGACTAGAGACCCTTCTTCTTTCTTGCACCTCATGTGACTCATCGACCTTGAGCCTACGTGCCTCCACTGAGCATCTCCACTGAGCGCCTCCACTAAGAGGCGCAGGGGGAGGGGAGCGCATCTCTGTTTCTTCCACTGAGAGGGGATCTGTCGACTCCCGCCTCTGTTGCTTCCACTAAGAGGCGCGGGGGGAGGGGAGCGCATCTCCGTTGAGCCAAAGTTTCTCTGTTGAGCCAATGTGTCTCCGTTGATTCCACTAAGTGGGAATCCATTGACTTGCCAGCGCTTCTTCTCCCGCCTCCGTTGCCCCCACTGAGAGGGGTTGCATTGACTCCCGCCTCCGTTGCTTCCACTGAGAGGGGATCCAYCGACTCGCCGGCACTCCTCCTGCCTCTGTTGCTTCCACTGAAAAGGGATCCATCAATCCATCGACAGTCTCCAATGCATCGATTCAACAATCAACCACCAGCAACGTTGCATGCCTTTCTTATTCGCCGCTGGTTGTTTTTACTCACTTTTCCCCTCCTTGATCCTTTCTAAAGCAAATCAAACACAGACGACACGATGATTACGGACGCAAGGCTAGTACTCCTTACTGCTGAAGAGACTGCAGATGCAGCCTTGCTGTCTTCAGCAAGCAGCGATTCAAGTGGTGACCCCTCAAGCAGTGATGCATCTCCTAGTAAAAAGCTGAGAAAGAACTTGACAAACAATCAGAGACTCGCCATTGTCCAGTATCTTTTGCAGCATCATCAAAGAAACTCTACTGGAAAGTTGGTTCTGGAAAGGGGAGCCCTCAAGGAAKCAGCATCAACCTACRACATACCAATCAGGACAATYGTAAGGATTTGGAAAYGGTACAAGCAAACTGTGGATCCTATCACTTGCCCTGCTGGTGATGTGCTATCTAGAAGACCCAACTCTGGTCGCAAACTCAAGCATATGGAAGGATTGGACGASGCTGTAAGGAATGTTCCRCTGAAAGATCAAGGTGATTTAAGAAGTCTTTCTGCTGCTACTGGAATTCCTAAGACGTCTCTTYKTTGTATGGTAAAGCGTGGCAACATTAAAAAGCACAACGGGAGTACCAAGCCACTACTAACTCCTGCAAACAAACTCCYWYRAGTTCAATGGATATTRAGTCACATTGATGCAAGTAGTGGAAGATTCAAYGATTGGTTCAAGTGGATTCATATCGATGAGAAATGGTTTTACTTGAAGAGGACTACACAAACAACCTATCTGCTAGCTGATGAARATGAACCCAAGTCTACATCAAAGTCTAAAAACCATATGACGAAGGTTATGTTCTTGTTTGCCACAGCACGTCCAAGGTATGATTYGCGCCGCARTGCTTGGTTTGATGGAAAAATTGGGATCTGGCCTTTTGTGGTGGTTAAAGAAAGGGCAAAAAGAAACTCTGTCAACCRTCCAGCAGGAACCCTAGTCACGAAGCCACAGAATGTAAACGGTGAGGTGTATAAGCAAAAGTTGCTTGAAGAGGTGCTTCTGGCAATCTATGCAAGAGCGGATGGGAATCCTCCTCCTGAGATTTTMATTCAGGAGGACAATGCAAAGCCACACAAGCCCTCAATCAGAGACGATGTCGCAAAAGCTGCAGAAAGTGCTGGGTGGAATATTCGAGTAAAAACCCAGCCACCAAACAGTCCAGACATGAATGTTATTGMTCTTGGATTCTTCAATTCGATTCAAAGCTTGCAGTACAAGAAAAGATCAAAAGGGATTGATCATTTGATTGAAAATGTAAAGCAAGCTTTTGATGAGTGCAAGCGTGAAACATTGAATAATGTGCTTTTGTCTCTGCAGGCTTGTATGCAAGCCTCACTTGGTGTTGGAGGTGATAATAACTACAAGCTTCCCCATCTTGGAAAAGCAAGCCTGATCCGTGCAGGTGTGCTCCCAGTTTTGATTATTTGCGAGCCTGATTGCATTGCAGCAGKAAGGCAAGTTCTTGCTGCCGCTGCTGCTGAGGAAGAAGCATAGTAGTGATAGTGACAAGTAGTTAAAATAAGTGTAATAGTGACAAAGGAAGTTCCTGGTAATGAATGTACACAATTCTACATAGGCCCAACTGCAATGACACACATTCAGGACCAGTAAAACATGGACACAATGACACATATAGTGGACTGGAGGGAGTACTACAAAAAAACCCACGAACAAGAATAACCCACCTTTTGAAATTGGGCTAGAGGATAAACTACTAACTATGTTAAGTATCTTAGTCAATAGCCTGAAKAATTTGTTTTGGGGGTTTCATCAAAACAGATTTGTGCTGGGTTAYTTGTTGTCTTCTTGTTGTTCGTGAGTCAACCCACCAGCAGCACTACCAATCAAAATAATGTGACTGGGTTATTCATGGCTTATTGGATCAAAGTAATTGTGCATTMTTGTTATGACTAGTACAAAAACATGGCTGGATTATTTTTTGGGATGGATTATTTTATGGGGAAAAATAACTTACACGGAAATCATGCCCCGCCCCCAACACCAGCAATTACTCAATAGTACTAGTCGTAGTACTACTAGTACTATTACTGACAAAACTGATTATGCTTGAAGATATAAAACTAGTACATCACTGTGACTTCTTAGTAGTAAGAAAGAAATTACTTCAAACTGAGTACTATAGGCAGAAGATATAATGCAGGTACTGTGGTTCATCTTCGGAGAAATGATTGGGGGGTTCTTGCTGGGTTCTTTTTGACCAAAACAACAGCAGCATTAGAAAAARAACTTGTGCTAAAACAAGAGCTGCTGGCATTGCTCTTCAGGGTTCTTGTTGCTGTCTGACTCAGATGTAGGAAAGAATAGCACCATCTGAGAGATGCTTCTTCTTAGGGTATAATTTTTGTTTGTTGTGACCATAATTTGCGCGTGTTTTTACACRCATGGCAAAAAAAAACTTTTATTCCTTTGCTAGTATTGAGCCCCCACTGTTGACCACTTTAACAGAAGGTACCATTTTTCTTTTTCTTTGTGATGTCAAAAAAATGAATTCATTTATGCAAGATGCGCACACCAAATATAAATCCATTCATGAATGAAAACTTTCCAAGACCCATAGTAACAAAATAATATTTTGTCACAATCACATTGCAACCCCAAAAAAACTCTGTTGTCAACTTGTTTCATATTGTCACCATTTCCTTTCTCCAGTCCCCTATTCTATTTTCCAAAAATAAATTCTCATTAATGGAATATTACTCCCAATCCTTTTCTAGTATTCTGAACTCCTGTTCTATACTACTAGTAGTAAAATAAATAGGTTCTCAAAATGTGTAATATCATACACTACTATTGAGTTCCAACTTTATTCTAGATTCTCTTCTTTTTCTTTTTCTGTTTCTGTTTCTGTTTCTTCTTAATCGAATGACCCTGCTATAGTGCTCAATCCATCCTCAAGCAGAGAGGCTCTCAATGCTGGATCAATATGATATAGCATTGGCAAGCTAGTAATGTACACGTCCCAGTTGTACATTTTGGGCCATCTAGTAATTACTGTACAATAACTCGTGGGATTCAAAAATTGGCTTGTACTGCAGTTTACTACAGCATGCACGTGCAAGCAAAACTATTTGGAAAACTAGTATTTGGTTGCACGAATGTGGGATTCAAAAATTCAGCACATGCCGGCTTAGTCAAAGTAGTCATTAGACAGTAATTAGATGGCTGGTTATCCACGTACAGTACAAAAAACATGTAGGGCATTAAGAGAGGTTCAACTAACTTGAAAAGCTATAACTTTTTCCCCAACAGACGCTTAAGTATGATAAGCACATGCTTAAAAAGAGAAGTCAAAGAGCTTTCTAATGCTGTGGGGGAGTAGGAGAGTGTATGATAAGTATTGATTGAAATGCGTGTACCTACTATATCTAGCATTGCTAATGTAGTACGACTGGTGCGTCTTTTTTTGCTTGGCCCACGCTATATGRTAGCTCTGTTGTTTCTTCCTTTTTGGTCAACTACTACCACTACTACCAATAGTATTACTGCTACTAAAAAAAAAAAAACTTAATATTATATTTAACCTCGTGAACTAGAAGAGGCACTAGGAAGGCCAGAACCATTGCTTTTGTGAAAGGAATGCTCCTAGCTGCTCCGAGGGGCGGCGCATCCCTCCGAGGAGTTGTTATAGAGGCGCGACCAAGGTGTATGTACTCTGATGGGCCGGTAAAGGCCCAGGACTGGACTCAAAGGACATGTTTAAGTGTAGTATTGGTTCATAGTAGTTTGGATGGTACGATTGGGTGCGGTGGAGACCAAAGAATTTGTTGGTGACGCAGGGGATTT